CATACATCACCATATCCACCAAAAGTACCTCACTGTCTTGAGGAATGCAAAGGATGCACTATAAAACGCAGTACAGACCTCTACAAAAAAGGGGGGGAGAGGAGTGAATACCATGTGCATTAAAAAAGTGCTCCCAAAGAAACTTTACATGTTTTGCTCCAGATAACAGAGCTTCGTCAGGAGTATACAGAATTAAAATAGGTCACATAGTGGCTGGAAGTTGTGCTAAGCTGCACACGGTGGCAAAATGGTACCTATCGTTTGTTTCACTTCTACATATAGAGATGCCCATTGAAATGGCCCCCGCACATGCTCAGTTCCTCAACAGACACCATTTTGTAGACAAAATACTGCACATGCTCAGTACCTCAATAGGCGCCATCTTGTGGACAAAAAACAACACCACAGCAGCACATCAGTACACAACACAATAGACACTGCTGGTGCTCTCAAATACTGTTAATGCCCCACTAATTAAGGGCCAAAATTACAGTTCATACCATTATATAGCATTTATGAATCAAAATAAAACAAAAAGCACAGAATCCCTTATCAAACCTAACAGCTTAAGGTGACAGAATGAAATGAACATCCCTCAAGTCAGTTTGTCCCCTGCGTTTCATATCATGGATTATGAAGATATTGGTTTTAACTCAGAGTCCGCCCCGAGATCCCTCCCTAAACAGAGTATTGGCCAGTTACTCAAAGGCACCCCCCTGCTGGGGGACTTTAAAAAAGCACAGGCTGTAGCCTGAGGCTAAGCAAGAGTCATCTCCTAATTTTAACATGTAACAGCAGGAGATCAAAGACCCTTTCCGCTCTGCAACTTGGATCTGCTTACCTTAAGGCTGAACATGGCAAGTAAACTTAACCTTTTAACTTCTCCCTGTTATCTTTGTGCTGAGCTGTTTTCTATGTATATATAAATATATACCTTAGTTACATTTTCTTTGTAAATATTTTATTGCACCTGTTTGACTCTTTTAGTAATAAATCTTTCTTTCTGAAAGTGTTAAACTGTTTCTAAGCGCTTACTTGCAATTCACAAATTCCTGCCTTTTGAAGAGATGCTACTGTGTTTGTTTAATCTCCTGCCCAATCGGCCTGCAGTGACCGTATTGGACAGGAGACTTTTCAACCATTACAGTGTATATTGGATAAAGAGAGTTTCCCCTTTCTCTGTACAAAAAGGGGTCGTGGCAGTGAAGGGTTAGTTGCGTAATTAACCTGACCCAGTAACAAAGCGCTTTCAGGCTGCCGGTGCGTAGATTGCGTTCCATTAGCTGGACAATCGTTGTGCAGGGCGCAGCTGAGTGTGGCATTGTTACGCACGTCGCATCGCAGTTTTAGATTGGCCGGTCCTTTGGTCACGAGTTTGGTGAGAAGGTCTGGGGTCTGACGCCGCGGGCGTGACGTAGTATTGTTGGTCGCAGTCGTGCGATTGTCGCATGTTGAGGGTGGCGATCGGGCAACCGTGACAACACCCAAAAGGAACAAAGGTAAATCCTTTATTTAAACCATAAGGTGCCCTTCAGCCTAAACAGAAAATCATTTTGCTTCAAGTTTCAAAAGACATTTATCTAGGTCTCTTTTTCTAGGACCCAGATCATATTTGTCAATAATCCAAAAGTTTAAGAGGTCAGGCTTACCATCTTGTTTTAGTATCATATGTCTTGCTACTGGTCTATCCTTGTTTTGAGCAATATTGTTCACATGTTCAAGAATTCGTCTCCTAAAGGGGCAAATTGTTTTTCCTACATGTATTAGGGGGAATGGGAATTTGAAAGCATAAATCACCCCCTCTGTGCCGCAATTATAGAAATCTCTATTTTAATAATCTCCCCATTTTTAGGATTAACAAACTCCTTGGTATTGCTCAAGAAAGTACATGCCTTACGGTGACCACACCTGAAACTACCTTTTGGTTTCTCAGGTAGCCAAGTGTATTTCATTGATGTTTTAGAGGTTTTTTCTAGATGACTATGTACTAACATGTCTCTCAAATTCCTATTCCATCTGTAGGTTACCTTGGGATCTTTAGATAGGATCTGTGATAGATATTTGTCCTCATGCAAAATGTTCAAATATCTCTTTATGATGTTGAAAATCTGCCGATTGATTTGAATATTTACCTATGATACGCATGCCTTGTTGATCATCCACTTTTGGATGTTTTTCTGGTTTTCTGACCCAAAAGAGATTCTCTTGGAACCCCTTTCACTTTCTCATAGGATTTCATCAAATCAGTCTTATGATAGCCTCATCTCATAAATCTGTCAAACAATTTTTGACTCTCCTTTTGGAATGCCCCTTCTGTTGAGCAATTTTTTCTTTGCTCTCATAAATTGACCAGTGGGAATTCCCCTTTTCAAGGCTGCTGGATGTGAAGTTTCCCAATGTAACAGACTATTTGTGGAGGTTGGTTTTCAATAGAATTGTTCTATTAACCACTTCAATACCGGGCAATTTTACACCTTCCTGCCCAGGCCATTTTTCAGGTTTCAGCGCTCTCACACTTTGAATGACAATTGCACAGTCATACAACACTGTACCCAAACTAAATTTTTTATCATTCTTCTTCACACAACTAGAGCTTTCTTTTGGTGGTATTTAATCACCGCCGGGGTTTTTATTTTTTGCTAAATGAACAAAAAAAGACCAAAAATTTTGAAAAAAATAATGGTTTTTCTTTGTTTCTGTTATAAAAGTTTACAAATAAATAATTGTTCTTCATAAATTTAGACCGAGATGTATTCTACTACATGTCTTTGGTGAAAATAACCCAAATTAGGATGTATTATTTCGTTTGTAGGAAAGTTATAGAGTTCACAAACTATGGAATATATCTGAATATTGATCAATCCTGAAGTACTGACAGCCAATCTAATTTCTTGAGGTCCAAGAATGTCAGAACAGTACAGATATCCCCCAAATGACCCCTTTTTGTAAAGTAGACAGTCCGACGTACTTCATAAGGGAATGGCGAGTTTTTTGAAGTTGTATTTTTTTGTCATAATTTTTCGGAAAATGAAAAAATTAAAAAAATATTATTTTCACTATTTTTTTTTTTACATACTCTCACCAGTGCAGTACAGCATCATCATATAACTGGCATGGTGGTGAACAGGGACACTGACTGGTGACAGTATGAAAAAAAAATATATATATTTTTTATTACATTTTTTTAAAGATTATTTTTTCATATTTTACTATGACCAAAGTAGTACAATGTTACCATAGTAACATTGTACTACTTTGGGGAAGTGATCAGTATTTTTTTTTTTTTTTATTACACAATTTGCTTATAGCAAAGAATTACTTTGCTATAAGCAAGCATTTACCTGAATGACATCGATTCATTCAGGGTTTTTTTTTTTTTTTTTGTGCTTAGCTGTGATTTGGCCACAGCTAATCACATGACATGTGACATTCACAGCTAGACACTAGTATACAATGGCATGAATGAAGCCATCCATTGTATACAACTGTCATGTGACCTGCTGTGATTGGTCACAGCAGGTCACATGGTACCGGCAACAGGGGCCGATACTCAGATCTGTCACCGGCCGTGTCCGAGGTATACGGCCGGTGACAGATCGCGCCACTGCGCGACTCTGCAACCGCGCGAACTGCGCATGTGCGGGAGGATGCCAAATGGGGTACACCCCGGAAAGGTAATGCATTTTTTTGCGGCTGCCAAACGGCTATAGGCCAGGTGGCAAATGGTTAATATTGCCTCCTTCACCCCTTTTAATCTCCAAGTCCAAAAAATGTATGCTATCATAATTAATTTCACTCGTGAAGTACATCCCAATATTGTTTTGATTTAAGGTGGCTACAAATTCCACAAACAGATCCTTTTGACCCTGCCATAATATTATCACATCATCAATGAGTCTTGCCCACATAAGAATGGGTGACATAAAACATTCTAGTTCTTCTACAAAGACCATAGTACACTCCCACCACCCAAGAAAGGGATTTGCATATGAAGGTGCACACGCTGAACCCATCACAGTTCCTCTGCAAACGTTGTGAATTTGGTGTGGTTCTCAAATAGTTTGCCTCTAGTTTCCAGAAAGGATTTACAAGCTTTTAGACCCAAGTCATGGCTGATATTACTATATAAAACCTCCACATCTGGACTAGCTAACCACACATCATCTTTCATTGTGATATCTATTAGTCTGTTTAAAAAGTCTCGTGTATCTTTGATACACTGTATGAAGGTAAACTAAATACAAATGGACGCATGATACAATCTAGATCAGTGATTCCCAACCTTTTTTCAGTCAAGGCACCCTTGAAAATTTTGGACAGATCCGAGGCACCCTCGAAAATAATGAACAGTCCAGATGCACCCTTTAAAATTATGTAAAATCTTGAGGCACCTTTGAAAATTATGGACAGTCCCGAGGCACCCTTGAAAATTATGGACAGTCCCAAGGCGTTCTTTAAAATTATGGACAGTCGCGAGGCACCTTTGAAAATTATAGACAGTTCCAAAGCACCCTTGAAAATTATGGACAGTCCCTTGAAGGCACCCTTGAAAATTATGGACAGTCCCGAGGCACCCTTGAAAATTATGGACAGTCCCGAGGCACCCTTGAAAATTATGGATAGTCCTGAGGCGTTCTTTAAAATTATGGACAGTCCCGAGGCACCCTTGAAAATTATGGACAGTCCTGAGGCATTCTTTAAAATTATGGACAGTCCCAAGGCGTTCTTTAAAATTATGGACAGTCGCGAGGCACCTTTGAAAATTATGGACAGTTCCAAAGCACCCTTGAAAATTATGGACAGTCCCAAGGCACCCTTTAAAATTATGGACAGTCCCGAGGCACCCTTGAAAATTATGGAAAGTCCCGAGGTACCCTTGAAAATTATGGACAGTCCCAAGGCACACTTTAAAATTATGGACAGTCCCAAGGCACCCTTAAAAATTATGGAGTCCCGAGGCACCCTTGAAAATTATGGACAGTCTTGAGGCACCCTTTAAAATTATGGACAGTCCCAAGGCACTCTTTAAAATTATGTTCAGTCCCGAGGCACCCTTGAAAATTATGGACAGTCCCGAGGCTCCCTTGAAAATTATGGACAGTCCCAAGGCACCCTTTAAAATTATGGACAGTCCCGAGGCACCCTTTAAAATTATGGACAGTCTTGAGGCACCCTTGAAAATTATGGACAGTCTTGAGGCACCTTTGAAAATTATGGACAGTCCCGAGGCACCCTTGAAAATTATGGACAGTCCCGAGGCACCCTTGAAAATTATGGACAGTCCCGAGGCACCCTTGAAAATTATGGAAAGTCCCGAGGCACCCTTGAAAATTATGGACAGTCTTGAGGCACACTTTAAAATTATGGACAGTCCCAAGGCACCCTTAAAAATTATGGAGTCCCGAGGCACCCTTGAAAATTATGGACAGTCTTGAGGCACCCTTTAAAATTATGGACAGTCCCAAGGCACTCTTTAAAATTATGTTCAGTCCCGAGGCACCCTTGAAAATTATGGACAGTCCCGAGGCTCCCTTGAAAATTATGGACAGTCCCAAGGCACCCTTTAAAATTATGGACAGTCCCGAGGCACCCTTTAAAATTATGGACAGTCTTGAGGCACCCTTGAAAATTATGGACAGTCTTGAGGCACCTTTGAAAATTATGGACAGTCCCGAGGCACCCTTGAAAATTATGGACAGTCCCGAGGCACCCTTGAAAATTATGGACAGTCCCGAGGCACCCTTGAAAATTATGGACAGTCCCGAGGCAGCCTTTAAAATTATGGACAGTCCCAAAGCACCCCGTTTTAAAATGGGGTGCCTCAAGACTGTCCATAATTTTAAAAGGGCGCCCCATTCTAAAATGTGAAAAACTATTCTAATAGTTTTATATAACGCAGCAACATCCACACATGTAGGACCCCCAACATTAGAGAGGATTTATTCTTCCAAAGCAAATACACTTTTTCACACTGGGACTGACTAGTATTCCAGTGTTTCTCTTCTAACTCAGTTTTTCTCCATCACTGAGCTAATGTGACCCCAGCACTGATTGAGAGGGGTGGGGGAGGATCAAGCTAGGATGCTGTGGAGGCAGCTGACACCCCCTTATCAACCGATGATGTCATTGGTTGTCAGGACGCTGGAGGCTAGAAGGTGATAATGGTGCACAATGAAAACCTGTGGCTTTGTGTAACTAGAAGGCAGGCTTCCACTCGCTGGAATGTATACATGTTTTGGGCAATTCTTAGACATGTTGCCAAGGCACCCATGAAGAAACCTCAAGGCACCCCAGGGTGCCTGGGCACCCTGGTTGAGAAAGGCTGATCTAGATATTTGCTTGCTCCTTCTGTAAGATTGTTATTGCCGAGATAATAGGGGGGCCCAAGAGGTTTTTCTTTATGTTTGTGTACCTTAGGTAAGGCATAAAAAAGTCTCAATAGTTGGATGTGCATTCATAATGAAGGCACCTTCATCTTTGGAGAGGATCCCCTCTTCAACAGCCCTTTTCAAAATAAAGTTCAACTCACTCAAGTATTTGGTGGTTGGATCATTCTGAAGTATTTCATAGTTATCCTCATTGCTTTCATAACACATTTAATGTTCTGTCCATCAAGACTAAATTTCCCCCTTTGTCGGCTGCCTTTGTAACTACTTCTTTAGTACTGCGCAGATCTTCCAACGCCTTCCATTCAGAAAAAGTCATATTACATCATTTATTTTTCCTCTGCCTTCCTAACCATAAATCATTCAAATCTCTCTCAACCAATTTTACAAACAGTTGGATGCTGCTCCCCTGAGGGAATGGCGGGTATAGGTATTCCTTGTTTTGAATGTGGAAAAAGGACCCCGTATTTCAGCATCCCCACTGTTGTTTTCAGCTTGTAATGATTCCAATACACTTCCATATCTCTAGATGTCAGACCCATCAGAGTATTAGATGGTTTGTCCTTATATTCCTTCAAAGCCAGTTTCCTGGAAAACAAAGGAGTTTCATTGACCTGATGCTACACTCTGATTAAAAAGTCTTCCTTTTGTTTTTTTGAGCAGTGTATTTCTGTCCCCCTTGGTGGGAGTGGAGGTGACCCCTCTATAAGGATCTACAGTCCATACACACACAGCACAAGGCCGGGGTCACACTACCAGACACTTCTTGGGGCTGCAGTTCCTCTGAGATCCACAAGGTGGTGATCAAAATTCTACCCAGACAGGAAGTCTCTATGGAAGATAGGAAGTGATGTCAGGTACAGACAGGAAGTGATGTCAGGTACAGACAGGAAGTGATGTCAGGTATAAATAGGAAGTTCAGGTGAGAGGTGAGTGGGGAGGAAGTAGAGAGGAGACGTTGGTGGAAGTGGCAGCAGAGGAGGTAATAAGATGTTATTTCCTATTTACACCCAGTAACCCCCCCCCCCCCGTCACGTCCTGTCCACGGTGCCTCCACGGTCACGTCCGTCCTGTGCCTCCACGGTCACGTCCGTCTGTGCCTCCACGGTCACGTCCGTCCTGTGCCTCCACGGTCACTGTGTCCACGTCACGTCCGTCCTGCCTCCACGGTCACGTCCGTCCTGTGCCTCCACGTCACGTCCGTCCTGTGCCTCCACGGTCACGTCCTGTGCCTCGGTTCCCCTGTGCCTCCGGTCACGTCCGTCCTGTCTTCCCCCACGTCCTGTGTCACGTCACGTCCGTCTTGCCCCCACGGTCACGTCTGTCCTCTTCCCCCACGGTCACGTCTGTCCTCTTCCCCCATGGTCACGTCTGTCCTCTTCCCCCACGGTCACGTCTGTCCTCTTCCCCCACGGTCACGTCTGTCCTCTTCGCCCACGGTCACGTCTGTCCCTGTCCACGGTCCTGTCAGTCCTCTTCCTCCATGGTCACGTCCGTCCTCTTCCTCCATAGTCACTGTGTGACGTCTTTTATCTCCAGCAGATGATGATACACACATATATAGTGTGGGAACCCAGATTAACCCCTTCAGGGGCACAACATTCCCCCACTTCCGGGGCCGGAACATTCTCCTCATTGTGGAGATGTCACCTTCTCCCTGGAGATGAGATGGACATACCTGGGTTTGGGGGGAGACGGCTCCACAGAACGTAACTAAAGTTCAGGTGCTGAATCCGAACCCCCATTTATAAACAGTAGTGGCCATGTTTTAGATGAGATTGTCAGACAAATGGTTTGGGGGGGTTGGACACTGCCCTGGGGGGATATGTACCAAAACAAATAGATTTTTTCTGAAAATGTATTTGGCGAGGACCAGCAATTATTATAATTCTTACAGGGCAATGTGTGCTAATTAAACCCCCGCTTTTAACGCATATTGTTAGAAGTTTGTTTGCAGGCTGGTTGGTAAGTTAGCTGGGAATTTTTCTCTTGTATTGTTTGACATGCGTTGCTCTTCCATGTGCTCCTTGCTGTGAAGGCCAGTTATAGACTGAGCCAGTGGCCATTCTTTGTACTGTCAACATTAACTGCTTCCCGACCGCCCTAAATACTGCTATAGGGCAGCATGGGTGCACAAAATCACATAAATATATACGTGATTTTGCATCTCCAGGTAGGGAAAATTCACGGCCGTGGCTGTCAATCACCGGTTCCCTGGGCCAGTGGCCATTCTTAGTACTGTCAACATTAACCTCTTCCCGACTGCCCTATAGCAGAAATACTGCTGCAGGGCGGCACGGGTGCACAAAATCACGTATACAGGGTTTGAAAAAGCTGCTCGCCAAATGCGAGGAGAAATTCCTCTGTAGCGAACACAGATGAAGCATGGAGCGACTGCACCTGCGCTCCAAGCCTCATTGTGAAGCCAAGTTCCAGTTTACAACTTCCGGTTTCTGTCTTCTGCGGCACCGCCACTGAGGGGACAGGTGCAGGAGAGGTCTGCTCTCCTCCGCTGAGAGGAGACACCCTCTCCACCGCCGCGGGGGACTCGGAGGGACTAGGAGTAAGTACTGTATACAACATGTCATATCACTATAATGGAGTACAGGGGAGGGGGGGATATATATTACTGTGTACAGTTTTATATTTTGGACTCTATTCTAAAGAAAAAATGTAATTTCATAAGCTTTAAGGGGGCGTGGTTGGGGGTGGGGGTTGGGGGCAGGACCTGGGCAAGGTTGGGTAGGGCAACTGGTGGAGAGTAAGTTTTGTGATCGGATAGTAGGTTCTTGTTTAATGTTTTCCTTATTGTAGATGTGTCAACAAAAATGTTAGCATGTGCCAGAGATTTCTGTAGGTCTTTAGCTGACACTCTGGGATTCTTCTTTACCTCATGCAGCATTCTGCGCTGTGCTCTTGCAGTCATTTTTTACAGGACGACCACGCCTAGGGAGAGTAGCAACAGTGCTAAACTTTCTCCATTTGTAGACAGTCTGTCTTACCGTGGACACATGAACATCAAGGCTTTTGGAGATACTTTTGTAACCCTTTCCAGCTTCATGCAAGTCAACAATTCTTGATCGTAGGTCTTCTGAGAGCTCTTTTCTGCGAGGCATGGTTCGCATCAGACAGTGCTTCTTGAAACCAGTAAACCCAAAACAGGTGTGTGTTTTTTAAGGGCAGGACAGCTGTCAGCAACACATCCAATATCATCACACTGATTGGAGTCAAGGTTGGCTCACTCCTGGCTCTAATTAGCTCTGGGAGAAGTCATTAAGCTAGGGCCTCACATACTTTTTCCTCCCTGCACTGTGAATGTTTACATGTTATGTGCAATTAAACCATGGCAACATCTAATGTTTGTGTAGTATTATGTTCAGCAGACTGTGTTCTTCTATTGTTGTGACTTAGATGACGTTCAGAGCACATTTTATGCCCAATTCATGCAAAACTCCACGTAATCCCAAGGGGTTCACATACTTTTTCTTGCAACTGTATTTTTGAATTTTTGCTATTAAACATGTCTAGTAAAAAAATGTAAAAAATCAAATTGACGTCAAAATGTTATCTACTCCATGTCTTTGCTAAAAACAAAAATCCCAATACGTGTAAATTAATTGGTTGACGTGGAAGTTACAATGTTTGCAAATGACGGTATAGATACTGGGATTTTTTTTTATTTTTACTAGTAATGGTGGCGATCCGCGACTTATAGCGGGACTGCCGCGGGCATTCTAACACTGGGGGGAACTGACTTGGTGTCACTGACATCCCCAGTGACACCAATACAGTGATCAGTGCTAAAAAAAAAAAAAGCAGACACTGTACTAATGGCACTAGGAATGCTGTTTCACAGTGTGCTGTGTGAGTGCCTCACTGTAACCACACTGCTTTGTATGGCTCTGCTATGCAGAGCCATACAAAGCAGTGTGCAGGATCTGACAGGAGAGATCTGTGTTGTTTATACACAAGTCTCTCAACGTCGGAGATACTTGGTGATCATCGGGTGCCGGCGAGGAATCAACAGATGGGATCCGGTGATTGAAAGCCGAGGCCGAAAATGGCGGCGCACGCACTCTCAACCCGAGACTGCAAAAATCACGTACATAAACGTGATTTTGCGCACCCTGTAGCAATATCCTATAGCAATGTACCCAATATAGTGTAGTATGTTCTGATTATCTCTATAGTGTGATACATCCATGTGCTCACTTTACAAGGACCATAGCATGCTCCGAAATTATAATTTACCATCCACCTCCAGTGTTCCAGCTCTTAAACGTGCTCCTCACTTCCCCTTTTGGGCATGTACCTTACCCTGCGTGAATAAATACGTGCCTTTAAATCCTCCATTTCATCTCCGCTTTCACCTCTTCTCTACAGTTCTTCATATCCTCCCGACCAGTATGCAAAATCAAATGTATACATAAAATGACGTTTTATTGTTAAAAATGTGCTTACATGGGTTCTGAATACAAAACGCCCTTTTCCAAAATGGCCACCGTGCGGCTGACGTCACTTGCTACTGACGCATTTCAGCAAACTGACTTCTTCATTGGCAGTAGACCAGGCTCGGCCCCACCCTCTCTTCTCATTGGCTGTGATTGACAGCAGTGGGAGCCAATGGCTCCTGCTTCTGCCTCAGCCAATGAGGTGAGGGAGTCCTAGGATAGCCGAGACTCCAGTGAACATTGCTGGATGGAGTGGGGGCTTAGGTGAGTATTAGGAGGGGGCTGGGGGGGGATGCTGCACACAGAAGGTTTTTTACCTTCATGCATAGAATGCATGAAGGCAAAAAACCTTGAGCCTTTGCAACCACTTTAGGATATTTGTAGTGAGATTCAAAGCCCAACAGTGAGAGAGAGCTCAAAAGGGATGGTGAAGGTATCACTGAAGGATTGTACGTCACTTTATAAGAAATTTTGGGTTTCTTTGCCACAGAGATTGCAATCTGCTACATACAGAATGCAGAGTTCAGGAGTGAGGCATGCACAAAGTGAAGCGTTCAGGAGTGAGGCATGCACAAAGTGAAGAGTTCAGGAGTGCACTACGTACAGAGTGCAGGGTTCCGGAGTGCGCTACGTACAGAGTGCAGGGTTCCGGAGTGCGCTACGTACAGAGTGCAGGGTTCCGGAGTGCGCTACGTACAGAGTGCAGGGTTCCGGAGTGCGCTACGTACAGAGTGCAGGGTTCCGGAGTGCGCTACGTAGAGAGTGCAGGGTTCCGGAGTGCGCTACGTAGAGAGTGCAGGGTTCCGGAGTGCGCTACGTAGAGAGTGCAGGGTTCCGGAGTGCGCTACGTAGAGAGTGCAGGGTTCCGGAGTGCGCTACGTAGAGAGTGCAGGGTTCCGGAGTGCGCTACGTAGAGAGTGCAGGGTTCCGGAGTGCGCTACGTAGAGAGTGCAGGGTTCCGGAGTGCGCTACGTAGAGAGTGCAGGGTTCCGGAGTGCGCTACGTAGAGAGTGCAGGGTTCCGGAGTGCGCTACGTAGAGAGTGCAGGGTTCCGTAGTGCGCTACGTAGAGAGTGCAGGGTTCCGGAGTGCGCTACGTAGAGAGTGCAGGGTTCAGGAGTGCTCTACGTACAGAGTGCAGGGTTCAGGAGTGCTCTATGTACAGGCTGCAGAGGTCAGGAGAGCATTACATATAGAGTGCAATGTTTAGGTTCACTACAAACAGAGTGCAGGGTTCCAGAGTTCACTATGTACAGATGCAGAGTTCAGGAGTGCATTGCGTGCAGGTTCAGGAGTACATTACACACAGGGTGTAGGGTTCAGGAGTACATTACACACAGGGTAGTAGGGTTCAGGAGTGCATTACACACAGGGTAGTAGGGTTCAGGAGTGCATTACACACAGGTAGTAGGGTTCAGGAGTGCATTACACACAGGTAGTAGGGTTCAGGAGTGCAATACACGCAGAGTACAGGGTTCAGGAGTGCATTATATACAGAGTGCAGAATTCAGGAGTGCATTACGTGCAGGGTTCAGGAGTGCAATGTATACAGGGTGCCCCCCCAGTACAGGGCTCTCATCCCAAATTCCCCCTCTCTCCTCTCCTCCCCCATATCCTTTCTCCTCCAACTAGAGACTAGCAGAGAGAGGGGCTGCTGCAGAAGAGCAGCTACAACTTAGGTGTGGGCTGGTGGCATGGGCTTCAGAAGGAGATGAGACTAGAGCAGCTGTGCACATTTCCTGCCCCCTCTTCTGCTCTCTAAGAATATGCAGGGCAGGAGGGTTCTGTGTATCCGCCGGGAGCAGTGCGCTGTCACTTGCACACATAAACCTGAGCGTCTGTGTTTGCAAGTAACAGTAGTAAACCGTAGGCAAGCGGCCAGTGCCAGAGGTTGCAGAACTCTGTTCCACCACATGCTGGCTGATAAAAAGCCCTGACTACCCCCGCTGATCTCACCACTTCACGCAGCCTACAGACTACAAGGGAGCAATGGAGGTCGGAGTTGTACAGATGAAGATCAGATTGTTGTTTAAGTGAGACAATAAAAGAAAAATTAAAATAAATGCCACAATAATACAGAGAGGACTACAGATGTTTAAGAGCAGCAGTGATTAGTATTTATTATATTATTATACAGTATTTATAAAGCGCCAACAGTTCGCTCAGCGCAGTGATTAATGTAAAGGAAACATCGAGATCAGAGTCTGCCTATTAACCCCTTACATCCCCATCCTAATATTGTACAATCAGTACCGTCCAGATAATTCTCCGCTATCTATCTACAGAGAAACCCCCATAGATCACATGACAACATTGAGGATGGAGGAGGACCGGAGTCACATGACTGAGAGGATACTAAACCTCACCCTGGAGATCATCTACCTGCTGACTGGAGAGGTGAGGGGGATTCTGGGAGGTCACATGACATCACTCTTATCTCTACTAATAAAACACAGACCTGACCGGAGAGGTGAGGAGGATTCTGGGAGGTCACATGACATCACTCTTATCTCCATTAATAAAAACACCTGACCAGACCTGATCCTGGGAGGAGACGTGACCAGAGAGTGAGGAGGATCCTGGGAGGTCACATGACATCACTTCTCTCTACTAATAAACAGACGTGACAGGAGAGATGAGGAGGATGTTAGAATTCTAAAATCATATTCCTGTTGCTTTTTCTATACAGAGATTTCCTCTTGTGAAGTCAGGTGATCATATGACCATCACAGTGCCTCCATGTGACTCCCTAAAACCTGAGAGACACAACATGCAGAAGATTCTAGAAGTCACCAAGAAGATGATGGAGCTGCTGACAGGAGAGGTGAGCGGTGCCGGGAATTCTGGGACATTCTCCAGTAACAGACAAGGCATGTGTCTGGATGGTGACTGTATCATTGTGTGTGTCAGGTTCCTATAAGGTGTCAGGGTGTCACTGTCTATTTCTCCATGGAGGAGTGGGAGTATTTAGAAGGACACAAGGATCTCTACAAGGACGTCATGATGGACAATCAGCCGCCCCTCACATCACCGGGTAAGAGGAGACTTTATTGTAAAGGAGAGAGCAGTACGGAGGATCCACCTAGATCTCCCATCATCTGATAAACACATAGAAACAATGGATTCAGTCAGTGTTTGTGTTTCCTACAGATGGATCCAGTCATGGGAACCCACCAGAGAGATGTCCCCGTCCTCTGTATTCCCGGGATTCCACACAGGAAGGTCACACCATCCCTCACCATCATCAGGTAGATGGATCCAGTCATGGGAACCCACCAGAGAGATGTCCCTGTCCTCTGTATTCCTGGGATTCCACACAGGAAGGTCACACCATCCCTCACCATCATCAGGTCGGTGGAGTTGAGGGTCTGGAACATAAAGTGATGGAACACTCTGACATGTGGAGACGATGTGTGGACTCTACAAGATGATATTTTCTATGTGATCTCACATCATAAATCCTTCTATATTACAGATGTTATTTCTGCCATTCTGTTGGTTTAGGGTGAAGATCTGATGAAGATGAAAGTTGATAGTGAAGTAGAAGAGACGTATGTGAGGGGATGATCAGCAATATACGGAGGAGGCTGGAATGATGAGGACATACAAAGAGGAGGAGGACACTCCTACAGAGATCAGCACAGGTGAGCCACAATATATTCTTCTGTTATCTCTGCACTTACTGCACACTGATTGGTCCAGAGTAGGGGGGAGATGAGTGATATCAGCCAATCATAGGTTGAGGATAGTCACTGATACTCATCCTACACATTAGATCGTATGTGTAGTCGAGTTCAGCTGGCAGTATTAGGTTGTGCTGCACTCATTACAGTAGCACAGATATATTAATACAGATTGTGCTTTTCATAGGTTTTTCCCTCTTCTTCAAGCAGATTTAAAGTCACATATAAACAATGGATTCAGTCAGTGTGTGTGTTTCCTACAGATGGATCCAGTCATGGGAACCGACCAGAGAGATGTCCCCGTCCTCTGTATTCCCAGGATTCCACACAGGAAGGTCACACCACCCCCTTGCCATCATCAGGTAGGTGGAGTTGAAGGTCAGGAACATAAAGTGTTTGAACACTCTGACATGTGGAGACAATGTGTGGACTCCACAAGATGAGATTTGTATTCTGTTCATTGAAGGACACAGCTGAATCTGTAGAAAGTGTGTTGTATTTTGCATGGAGAGGGTCTCATTGCAAAAAACCCTTAAAAAAAACACCTGGTGCCAATGGCATGAACATCTGAAGCCTTGGATGATGAACCTTCTTGCACAGGTCCAGAACCCCCAGTGTCGGTGGAAACTTTGTTATCCCCCTCTAAAAGTGAGGATTAGTTGCTGGCAGCTAGGTTGGCTGGTTTTGGCTTTTATTCAGGCTGTTTGGGAGAGGTTGAAGGTTCAGTAAACGCCTTCCATGTCAGAGGACTCTACAGTCCCATCTGAGACACATAAGCATAGACGATCCTCAAAAGGTTTTTCATATGATTCCTCCTTTTGAGAATTTCATCCAAAAGGATTAGACACGTCATGCTGAGCTCATGACTGAAGTCAGCCGATTCAACTAGGGGGGAGTGCTGGATCAATTGTTGGTTCAGGGTCAATGGATCCAGGAGGAAACCAGGCTTTCCATCAACATTGTGGAACTGAATGATCAGTCTGTGCCTCTTGCCTTCTATGGCTCTTCTCAAGGGTTACCCGATCAGGGTTCAGTCGGACACCACCATGGCTGTGGTCTGTGGTGGTTTATGTAAGGATATATATTATTTATAAAGGGCGTGTCCCTTTCCCTTAGATGAAATATTACAGTGCCTCCAGCCATTAAAATACGGCAAATATTTAGTAAACCAATAATTTGGACACCTTGATAATTTGATCACCACTTATTATTATACCTTGAATTCTTTTAGCCAATATGATTTCGTACCATACACACAAAATTTGCCTTGTAATAGATAAATATAAGAATTTATTTATGTACAAAAATTATATATATATTAACACAAAACGCAAAAGACTGGTGATAGATGAATATTGGTACACACAATCAAAAATATATCCTACCAATGTAAGACACAATAATAAGGTTTCTAACTAATTACATCAATATCACAATTTTTTTTAAATGATATGATTATTTATTAAATTTATTAATAATTAATAATTTCGAATATCTCAAAGGTTATATTCTCACAAGCCGTGGCCATAGGATTGCAAGAAGCAAGCCCTTGATATATGATACTCTGGTTATTAATATTCAATAAATTATGAAATATGAAAAAAAAAAATTATAATATGGCAACAAACAATTTTTAACAGTAAAACAGGATCTCTCTACATATATCTAACTACCCAATATTGTTGTGATACACTAAGGTAATTTTATGATTCCACACAACGGAGAAAATAGGTAATACAAAATCAAATAAACAATCTCACCGCACCCGGCATTCAGACTAGGCAACTCTCCCGTGGATTTAGCTGGCAGTGGAACGCCTTTAGACTGATATTATAGGGCAAGTGATAGATATTCAGTAGGGGAGAATGTAGGAAGTTATAAGGTTAGAGGTTTAGAAATTTAGTTAAAGTTTTAGGAAGTTTGAAAGGATGGAAGAGTAGTTATTCAGCAGAGATCTTCTTCAGATGTCAGGGTCTTCTTTTGATGAGGTCTCTTCTTTTTGAGGTTTTTCTTGATGAGGTTTTTTTTTGTTAAAGGTACAAGGGCTTTTATACCACCCAATCCATTGTTCTAAGATACCTTCCCACCAGGCTTCTTGATTGGCTAGTTGAGAAATGTGTGTACATAAGCTATTTCTCACCTGCCCGCCAGGTGGCGGTCATGTATCATAGAACAATTTGAGTATTTGAGATGACTCATACCTTGGGTGGAATCTTAAGGTAATTTCAGGAATCAAATATACGTCTTTTTCCAGATATAAGTGATCATACCTATAATATTCTAAATAGGGACCATGGAATATAGGTGTATATTCAGTTATTCCTTCTTGAAATACCATCCTGTTTGTTTCCTGATAAGACATGTAACTAATGCTAGTTTATAATACATCTTACTTCCCATCATCTCAATACTCAAGTTAGTGATATATAGTTCCCATTTCTGAATATTTAGTGGTGTGTAAAATCCATAACATCTCATTTATAATATGTTTTTGTAATATATCTTTGTAATTATATACAGTCAACTTTTAGACTTAAATGTCCTGAATTTCACCTCTTTGTTTTAGAATCAACATTTTCTATGTGTAGGAAAAAAAAAAACTCTCTGTTTGCCTGGCTCTTGTATTGGACTCATGGTAAACAACTGTTAATGCTTTCACCCTTGGTGAACAATAGTATATTGTAATAGTTTCAGAGGTCTGTTGGTTCATCACACTCTGCAAGTTTTGGTTAAGCTTTCAACCAGTTGAGTTCCCGTCTCATTATTGTTAAAATGTTTGAAAGTCGAAGTCCTATCTGGCTATTTGTTTGACTTTCTGTATATGCATTCTTCTCAACCTCAATATACAAATAGTCCTTGTTGACAGTCCAAACAGTCTTATTGTCTTGGAAAAGTCTTACTTCCCCCATTCTCTCCATTTCTTTAACTAGAATCCTTGATGGTTCAACCAAGACAAAATTAACTCTTAGCATCCGGCTATACTGAGCTGTTTGTCATATAATATTATGTCTTGATAAAGTCATATTTTTGAGACATAATTCAAAAGGTCCACAACAGGTCTACATCAATCACCAGGGTGGTTGGCAGTTGTGTTGGAAGTGGCCCGTATCCTCAACTGGGTGGAAATTCATGTTCCAGCCTCGTCTGCCATTCATATTCTGGGAGTGGACAATCGGCAGTTGGACTATCTCAGTTGTCAATGTCTGAATCAAGTAGAGTGGTCTCTTCATCCAGATGTTTTTCACCAGAAGTGTCAATGCTGGGGCATGCCAAGTGTGGATCTCCTTGTATGCAGACTCAATCAGAAAGTTCCCAGTTGTGTGTCCAGGACTCCTGGGCTGATGCATTGAATGTGCCGGTGACTCCATGAGGCAGCTACTCCCTGATCTATGCCTTTCCTCCTCTGAAGCTACTACCCCAGTTGTTATGGAGGATAAAGCAGGAGGACTGATTGTTAGTCTGAAGAGAGGAGTGCAGATGTAGGAAGAAAAAGATTGCGCATGGGTCAGCAGCTGTCAGTATGCAGCCACTGAATTGAGTGATTACTTGCCTGTATGAAGAGTGATTTCTGTCACCCTGGACTCCCACCTCTCCTTCCTACCCCACATCCAACTGCTATCTAGATCTTGCAGGCTCCACCTCCACAACATCTCCAAGATACGCACATTCCTCACCCCAGACACCACCAAACAACTCGTACACTCCCTCATCATCTCACGCCTGGACTACTGCAATTCCCTTCTCACTGGCCTACCCAAACGAACGCTATCCCCACTCCAGTCGATCCTGAACTCAGCGGCTAGACTCATCCACCTCACCAAGCACTCCACATCCACCTCCCCCCTCTGCCACTCCCTTCATTGGCTCCCGATTGCCCAACGCATCAAATTCAAACTGCTAACTCTCACCTACAAAGCCATTCATAACGCCGCCCCAAACTACATAACCGACCTGATACCCAAATACTACCCTACCCGTGCCCTCCGCTCCTCACAGGACCTCCTATTCTCTAGCTCCCTGGTCTCTCCTCCCACGCCCGATTGCAGGACTTCTCTAGGACTTCCCTCATCCTCTGGAACTCCCTACCCCAATCCATCAGACTGTCACCTACCCTCCTCACCTTCAGGCGCACCCTGAAAACCCTCCTCTTCAGGGAAGCCTACCCCGCCCTCCCCTAACAACTAACCTCCTCCACTCCTCCCACCACTCCATCCCCCACAGCCATCTCCTCCTGTACCACCTTCCCCTCCCTCCTAGATTGCAAGCTCGAAAGAGCAGGGCCCTCGAACCCCTCCTGTAGTGTATTGTCTCATGTTCTGTCCCCCTTGCTACTGTACACCGCTGAGCATACCCTTTGGCGCTATATAAATACTGTATAATAATAATTTCTGCTAGATCGTAAGCTGGTGCTGATAGGAATAAATGCTTCTGGTAGTTTGACTTTGGGATCTCAGGGACAGCTGTAGCATCCTCTGTGCCCCTTTCATTCGGGTTCAGAAATGTAATTTATTTATGATGGTGTAGTGCCCCCCCAACTACCTGAAGACAAGATAATACCTCCAGAG